GAAGACATAAAATACTAGTTCTCATGTTTTTATAGTCAAAAGTTCAAATTACTGAAGTACTTTTTCTGCTGCGGTGCTTTGAAATGGTCATTTGACCAGTCATTAGTATTTTGAACATAACTTAGCATCCAGATCTCCAAATGACTTGATTCTTGAGCTATTCAAAAGCTAACTCAAAGAACTACAACATTCTTGTTTTGTATATAATATTTGATTCAACCTTCTTCATAGAGAAATTTTCATATCAATATAGGACTAGATTTAAGTCCGGATTGTGGGTCAAATTCAAGGTAGAATGCAATCTTTTAGAGGAAAAATAGAGCATCAATCGAGCCGTGAACAGTAATCTATCTAGGGCTGGATTTTGGGTAAGATTGCATTCAGAGAAGATGGCTGAACTTGCTCAAATTGCTCAATCATTTCATACCTTTAATGGTACATCAAGGAATGATTTTTCTGCTGAAAGTAAAGCTCTAGAATACTCTTTTAGACATTCTTCTTTCTATATAAACATATTTTAAGCAAGAATCAAAGGAAACTTTTGGAGGTGGAAGAAAAACACCACAAGATGCAGAACTTTGCTAGTTTCTTAGTTCTTTGGGGTAGTGTAGGTTAGGTGGTTTTATTATGAACTTGTATGGATCTCAATTTGGATGAAGACGAAGATCGAAGAAGGAAAAAAGGGAGGCTCACATGTGATAGGTGATACGAATCTCGTTGGCGACGAAGATTCGTGACCCAAGATCGCTTGTTGGATTTCCGATTGACGACCAAGGAAGGTAGCAGCGGAAACCCTACAACCCCTCTAATCCCCGTGACTACGAACTTGTTGATATTATCTCAACCTGTAATCAAACGAATTAGCGAACCTCAAGCAAGTGTAGAAGGCGCCACAACTCAAGTGTGATTCTTGAATTGATAAGCCAACAAGAACACTGGAGTATAACTCTAAGTTGTTCAAGGGATGCTCGAAAGCTATAGAGAAAATTATCTCACATGATTTATGATAAAAGTGTCTCCCCTTTTATTGATGTATTATGGCCTGTTATATAGGGTACAAGTAATACCTAATCTGATAAAGAAAGTAAAGCTAAAGGTACGGCTTGTATGGGCCCTAACTAGTGAAGGAAACGGAAAAGGAAACGACGGCCTCAACCCTCGACGGATAGGGCTTCATGCGGACTTTCCTTCCTAGGTAGCCCACCTTAACATATAGTGTCGCGCCCCATTTTTTGCGATGGAAAAATAAAAGGATGTTTATAAAAGATTTGATTTTATAAATGAAAAATGAAAAAGGACCTAAAATGGGACTTTAAAAATGCGATAATTTGGGTTCAAAATTTAGTCTAAAAGGGTTTTTAAGAAAAATTAGGAGTCGCCACTAGGTATCGAGTTTGGATGTACCAAGTCACCCAAAAAGTGTTTTTAAATAAAGTAAAATAAAACCTTTTTCAACAACTCCAGGTCTTTGAAAACAGAGAAAATGAGCTCGAAAGTCACGGTTGAAAAAAGGGAAGGCAAATGTTCAATTATCTCAAATCTAAGGCACCCTTTCAACTTAGTCTAAGTTAGTTGCGTGGTTTAGTCAAAATTTTCTTAATCTAACCCTTAAATTTATCACATTTGGATGTTCCCTACATGGATGCAAATAAAAATATCGAGAGGGACAAAATGTCCATTCAAGGGTTTAATTGATACCAATCGCATTAATTGCGAAAGCCAAAATAATTCCTTGAAGGGTCACGAATATGCGAATGATGAAATTAAAAGAAAATAAAATTATATACATAGATATAAGTGATCAAAGAAAAAGGAATGCAACATAATGGGTATAGGAGGCAAAAACTCGTGACATAATAATTTTTATACAGGGATTAATGGGGTATTTAAACTAACGAGTTGTAATCACCCATTTCCCATGTTCAAAGAATAATTCTTCTAACATGAACAAGCAAATGAACTAGCTTAAATGAGATGCAATTCTAAATGTTATGATTAACACATATAGATGGTAAGGGATAATATAATAGGAAATATCATGCAAATGAGAAAAGATCCTAAAAATGAAAATATGTATGAAAATGTAATGAATATCACACAAAAATGAATCTAATCGTACGAATGATCTAAGGGTCTAGCGTTGGATTAGCCCATTTCTAAAAATCCTTACTAGCGTTGGACTGCAAGCAAGCGGAGGGTGAAAAGCCACAACTAGCATTGGACTAGTGTGGTGACGTCATACATTTTAAATACATAATATGACAAGTAGGCATAAATTAAAACAAATAAGCACATACAAGAGCACGTAGCACGTAACACATAGACATAATATTTAGATGCAAAGATCCTAAGGAAAGCGGGTAAGGCACGTAACACATAAGTCACATAAACACACAACCTACCTATTACATTGGGGAGCGCCTAACTACAATCTAAAAAGGAAAAATATAATAAAACAAATATAATTATCCTATCTATTACATTTTTTTTGAGGTATTCAAATGCCTCTCAAATAATTATAAAATTAACTACACAAACATAAGAAAATTTAAATGAACATTCAAATCAAATAAACAGAGCATATAAAAATATGTAAACACATAGGAACACGTAGGAGCACATAGGAGCACGTAATTGACATTGAAATAATAATAGGGGTACCTCCCTTTTGAAGTGGTGATTAAATGGAGTCAAATTGCCCTATTTATACTCAAAATGAACAAAAGAATCATGGCACCAATTTAATTGAAAATAGGTTGTTGAAGATGGAGCCTCAGGTCCCTGGTTCGAACCTTGCTGCCAGCAAGTTGCTGAGGGTGGTGAATAGTCTGCGGGGTCCACTCCCTGCGGGACACACCTAAAAAAAAAAAAAAAAGATAAAAAAATACTAAATTAACCTTAACATGTCAAATGTAAGGAAATTTAAGAACATCTAAATTACAAGGTAAATATACTCCAAAGTAACATAATTAGCTATTTAAGAAAAGTAACAATTATAATAAAGAGAGACAAAACTCACCAGGGACTGAATTGCAAAAATTGAAAACTTTTGGGGATAAAAATTATATTTTTCTAAAGTTCAGGGGTCAAAATTAAATGAAAGATAAAATTTAGGGACCAAAATGTAATTAATTAATGTTATGGGCCAAAATAAAATTACTCCAAAGAACAGGGGCTAAAGTGCAAATTTCACTAACAGATCTTCTTAAGAAAACAAGCCACTGGGCCAATCTCTATTTTTCCCGGGCCAAAGGCCACTCGGCCCAAACGAAAGTTCAAGCCAAAATACCCAGGCCAGCCCGTCTTGTTGTTACTCAAGCCTGACCAAAAAATACATGGGCTCCAACCTCCTAACCCAACCGAAACCCAAAAGAAATGAACAAAGATTCAATCCCAAAAACCCAACCAAAACAACCACCAGCCCAACAGAATAAAAAACATTAGCCCAACCATTTCTTTTCTTCTCTTTCTTTTCTTTTCTTTCTTCTTCCTCCACTTCCCATCCGTTTCTTTTTCTTCTTCTTTGGCCAACTAAAGAAGCTTCAGCTGGTGGCCATGGCAGCTGCCGGCGGCACCGCCGGACTGCCGCCGGCCACCGGCGACTTTTCCGGTCGCCAAAACTGCCAAAATACACCCCCACTCTAATTTTCGCATAGATTCCATTTTTGAAATTAGTTTTTACAAAAAAGGATCCGAAAGTGGCTAAAAAGCCAAGAAATTAGTCCAATTTTTATTTTTTAAAACCCTCAACTCTTCACCAAAACCCATGAAAATTATACCAAAACACTCTTTATGATTTCCACATTATAACTATGAACTAAAATCAATAAAAGTAACAACAAATAATACAAAATTAAACCAAAACAGTCCAAAAATAAAAAATATGCTTCAAAACTTTTAATACTCAAAACTCCAATAACTTGAACAATTAAACATTTCCAGGCCTAGTGCTAGCTAACAATTATCCGTTTTGACAACAACATGCACAATATTCAGCTTTTTAATCCGTTTTTCCACTTCGGCATTTTATAAAATATTGGCATGCATTCACAAGAAACATTTCCTTTTCCTAAATTTGGTTCATGCCATTTCCCAATTTTAACAATACAACAACAACAATGCAAGGTAGCAAAAACAGGGGAAGATAAGCAACAAAATATGAATTAAATGTGAAAAACGAAACTGAAAAAAAAGAAAAAAAATACCTCGAGAATATTACAATCACTGGTAGGTGAGGTTTGTGATCAAATTCCTAAGCTTCAATGGTTTGACAACTTGTTTCCCCTTTTGTTTGCCAAAATGCCGAGAGAGTCTTTTTTTTTTTTGAGTGGAGTCCTTCGTTGTCTGATGGTCTTCTGTGTTCTCCCCTAGAGAGCCGAATGAAGAGTGAATTCCTGGGGAAAAAGTGGGGAGTTGGTATTTTTCTTGTCCAAGGGATGGTCTCCATGTGTCAGAGCCGAGAGAGTACATATTTTTGAGCCCCAAAGTGCCTTTTTTCTTGTCAGTCCCACCTTCGAGAGAGTGAATTGAGGGAGTGTGTTTTGTATGTTGTGGGTAGCGAGCAAAAAAAGGGGATATGGCAGAGATTTTTTTTTTTGTTTTTTTTGTCAAATGGGTTTGTTTTTGTTTTTTTTTCTTTTGTTATTTTTTTCTTTTCTAAACAAACCTGCAAAAATAAGAAAAATGCACATTAAAATGTAAGAAAATAAATAAATTATTAAATAGAAAAAATTCAAGAAAATATTAACATTTAATAAAAATTTGGTGTCTACATATAGTGATGAACAAAATAGCAATCCTACTCTTGGCGATTCTTTGTGCAACATGTACTTAGCCAATTATTCAAGCTAATAAAACTAACACGTAAATAAATGAAACTACTGAAATGGGAAACGAGGTTTGGCAAAACCCTAAACCTCTGGTATAACTTCAATGCTCAATACCGGAACTTGATCACCTTCACTGGAGTGTATGAATCCCTCAAAGGACTTTTGTATGGCCTACACAAGTACATTGAATTGCTTACGAAGTCTCTTTGCACGAGCCCTAGTGATGGGCCCGTTTGGAGCTTGCATGCGGTCCTCGGTCCCTCGATCACTCGAGTCATTGTTGGCACGCCCACGTACTATGATGCTATCATTTCTCTCCTCTTGAGAAGGATTTGCCCTCAAAACAAAAGCTTCATCTGCATCAAAAGGGGCTAGGTCAGAGACATTAAATGTAGCACTAATGCCATACTCACCCGGAAGATCAAGTTTGTAAGCGTTGTCATTGATGCGCTCCAACACTTGAAAAGGTCTATCACCCCGTGGTTGTAGTTTATTTCGCCTTTGCACAGGGAAATGTTCCTTGTGCATGTGCAACCACACCCAATCGCCAGGTTCGAAAGTCAGCTTTTGGCGACCTTTGTTACCTTGCTTGACATATTGAGCAGTTCTCCTCTCAATGTTGGCCCTGACTTTCTCATGAAGTTGCTTAACAAAATCTGCACGTTTCTTACCATTCAAGTGTGCGTGCGCTCATTACTAAGTAATGGCACTAGATCAAGAGGTGTTAGCAGATTAAAACCATAAACACATTCAAATGGAGAGAAACCAGTAGTAGAATGGACAGTCCTATTATACGCAAACTCAACATGAGGTAAATATTCTTCTCATGTTTTCATGTTCTTTTTTATGATGGAACGCAACAAGGTATCTAATGTACGATTCACCACCTCAGTTTGACCATCAGTTTGGGGGTGGCTAGCAGTAGAGAATAGCAATTTGGTGCCTATCTTAGACCAGAGTGTCTTCTAAAAATAGCTGAGAAATTTGACATCTCTATCAGAAACAATGGTCCTAGGAATGCCATGCAGTCACACAATCTCTTTAAAGAACAAGTGAGCAATATGAGATGCATCATCCGTTTTGTGACAAACAATGAAGTGTGCCATCTTAGAGAATCTATTAACTACCACATAAATGGAGTCATGGCCAAACTTGGATCTAGGCAACCCGAGTATAAAATCCATAGAAATGTCAACCTATAGTGCACTAGAAATAGGTAATAGGGTGTAAAGGCCATAAGGGTGTACCTTGGATTTAGCTCTCTTACACGCTAAGCAGCGCTCCACCACCCGTGCAACATCTCTCCTCATGTGCGGCCAGTAGAAATGTTCCTACAGCATGGCAAGAGTTTTATCAACCCCAAAGTGCCCCAAAAGTCCACCCGAATGGGATTCCCTTACCAAAATCTCACGGATTGATCCATGTGGGATGCAAAGCCGATTGGCACAGAACAAGTAACCATCAGAAATGAAGAACTTACCTTGCCCGGTGTGTTTGCAAGAAAAGTATAGCTCACTGAAGTCACTATCTTATGCATAGAGCTCTTTAATTAGCTCAAATTCCAACAACTTAGCATCTAAAGAAGTGATTAAAGAGTACCTTCGTGAGAGTGCATCTGTGACCACATTGGACTTATCAGCCTTGTATTTAATAACATACGAAAAGGACTCCACGAATGCAATCCACCTTGCATGCTTCTTGCTCAAGTTGTGTTGGACCTTAAGGTACTTAAGGGACTCATGATCAGTGTGTATTACGAATTCCTTAGGCTTTAAGTAATGCTGCCACACTTGTAGTGCTCGAATGAGGGCATACAACTTTTTATCATAAGTTGAGTCATTCAGTGCAGCCCCATTGAGTTTCTCACTAAAGTAGGCAATAGGTTGTCCACCTTGGTTCAACACTGCTCTAACTCCAATACCTGAAGCATCACAATTGATCTCAAATGTTTTAGAGAAATCAGGTAAGGCAAGTACAGGTGCGTGTGTGAGTTTGTGCTTTAAAGTGGTAAAAGCTTTTTCTTGAGAATCTCCCTAGCTGAAATTCTCATTCTTCTTGATCAATTCAGTCAAGGGTACAACAATGGTGCTAAAGTTCCTCACGAATCTCCTATAGAAACCCGCAAGTCTATGGAAACTTTGAACATCACCCACAGACCTTGGTATTGGCCACTCTTGAATAGCTTTCATCTTCTGATCATCCACCTTCATTCCCTGCGCACTTATAACAAACCCTAAAAACACAAGCTCATTAGTGCAGAAATTGCACATCTTGAGATTGGCATAAAGTCTCTCGTCGAAGTACATCCATAACCGCCCTAATATGCTCAAGGTGTTCATCGTAAGACTTGCTATATATTAGGATATCATCAAAGTAAACTACCACAAATTTTCCCAAGAATGGACGCAACACATGATTCATTAATCTCATGAAAGTGGTAGGTGCATTAGTAAGCCCAAAAGGCATCACTAACCATTCATACAATCTGTGAGCACCCGTAAATTTTCTTTATTTCATAATATTTTATTTTATTTTCTCGTATGCATTTTCTTCATTATACCCCATTATATTGATTTTTTATAAGTGAGTATAGGTTTAAAATCATTTTCATAGTATACGTTAGTTCATGATAAGTTTGAAGTGCGTTGTAGATGTGGGACCCGTTGGTGAGCTAAGTGCGATAAATTTTTGGCGATTAATTGAAATTTTGTATTAAGTGATATTATTTTACAAGATACTAGGAGACAATTAGAGATTAGCTAAATAGATAAACCATTGGTAGATAACAGGATGAGAACAAAACCTTAATGTGCCAAGTGTCGCGACGCCATTGGATGGTGGACTTTGACTAAGTTCTTTACCTTTACTAAATCACAAAAAATTGACCAAAACCATCTTCATTTTCCTTGTGCCTTGGCCGAACATAGAGAGGAGAGAAGAGAGAAAAAACTATCATCTTGTTCTTCAAATCCAAATCCAAATCTTGAGTTCCAACCATTAGTATCTCAAATTACTCCATAGAAACTTCTTGCTAGGAAGCATTAAGGAGGTTGGTGGAGTTGTTTTGAAAAGGGAAGCACTAAGGTATCATTTTTCTTTGAATTTTAAGGTATTTTGCCAAGAACTTCCTTTTTACTTCAATTAATTGGTAATTAGTGGCTTGTAGTTGTTATAGATGCTACTTTGTGGAAGATTTCATGATTTTAAGTAGAGTTTGATAAATTTCTGATTTATTAGTGAATTTTCTGATTTTATATGATAATTGTGGGTTGGACATGGAATGATAGCTTGATATGGTGTGAAATGGAGCTATTGTGTGTTAGTTGTGGTTGTTTGCTGAAAATTTCAGAATTTGTGCGGAAATTTCAGTTTTAGGGTTTCAATCTGCCCTGTTTTTGTACTGCATGTTCGTCCTTGAGGGAGGCCGAACATGTCCTTACCCAAAACATGAAAGTTGTTGATAATTGAGTTAGCTAGCTACTGGTAAAATTTTAGTTCAATTGGAGCACTGCAGCCCATGAAATGACCGAAATACCCTTTACTGCCCACAAGCCTTGTTTCACGGACAGTTTTTTGTCCTCAATGAGATTTTGATTTTTGACCATGAAAATGCATGATTTGGCTTTGGAGGTCTTCATAAGAAATGTAGGTATATGTCTTGGCTTCGAAACGCCATAAGATTCGTTTCAATTCGATAAGTGTAGCTTCAGTTGTGGTTATTGTACCGAAAGGTGTGTTTTATAGTCTATGATTTGTATGTGGTTGATTTGAGATGAATTGGAGTTGATTGTAGGATGGAAAAGTAAGGAAATGTAGGGGACATGCTGTCCAAATTTTGGGAATGTTGGATTTCTTCGAGTTTGGTTTGGTTTGGGATATATATAAGAAGGGCTTTTGGGGTTGTTCGAGCCCTAGGTCTTCATGTTACATTTTTGTTCCCAAAATCATGTTTTGCACCATTGCATTAGTAATTATTTGGCGAGATCTATGACTTGTAGTCGAGCCTCATTTGTGCATTTTATTTACTGGATTTGTGGCTGTGGGAACCATAATTGTTTACCTTGGTTATTCTAGGGTTTCTTGGTGATTAGAGCCCTACTTTGGTTGAAACTTTTGAAGTATCCTTGCTTTAACTGGTGAGTGTACCACTTCCCTGAATTATTGCTAAACTGGTTATCTGTACTTGCAAATTGCTATTTGAATGTCTTTCCCGACTATTTATTTTGTACGAGACGAGTGTGTACTTTATCGCACTCGTTCTCTGCCCTGTGTGATTTGTTTCCTATACAAACTTGAATCTGTTACTTGTGCCTGATATGATGTCGTTTGGAAGTGTATCCAATGACATTCCTGTTAAATCTGAGCTCAATCTCATGGGGAGTCAATTGAATCAAGCCAGCAAGGGCTTGGTTGAGGAAAATTGATAATCCATGGGTGCCTGTTCTTGAGAAATATTTGGGTATTGGAGACTCTAGATTTCCGGTATACTCGAGTATTACCATTCCTATTCCTGTTTGGCGTTTGGGCCCGGTAAGGGATATGTTTGGTGAACGGGATTTTGGCGTAAGCGGGGTCTACGGACATGTGTGTTTCATTAAATGTTGACGGAGGGTCAACGAGATTGGATCAAGTATTGCAACGGGGATTCGGCTCCTGAGAGCCACCTGTATCCTTTAATTTGTGGTGTCCATTCATTTCTGTTATTTGATGTGTATATGTGCCTTAAAAGTGATTTCTCATGATTTCTATTGTTTATACTTTTGGTACCTCATTGAGCTTCTAGCTCACCCCGTTTTATTATCCTTGTTTTCCTTACAGGGAACAATCTTTTGGAACTTCGATGTTTTGAAGAATGAGTTGAGCTAGTTAGAAATTCTTTTGTTCTTTTGGTATAGCTCCTCGACAATTTGGAAACCCTAAATGTATCTTAATACGATGTTTCCTTTTGGTTTGTAAACTTACTAATATGTATATGTTAAAGTGTTTCCTCATATTTATGTGGCATATGTATTTGGGAATGTACTTTCTCTCATGTTAGACAAAATTTACTTGTATTTGGTTGGGTTTCGAACAAGTGCGAACGTTGATCGAGAAAAGAAGAAAATTCTGGTAGGAACTGTTCATGGAATCCGGTCGAGAATCCGGCCAGTTTAGGGCCGGATATATGGCCGGATTTGCAAGGGACTTTGAAAAATTTTCATTTTGGCCTCTGCCTCTAATCTGGCCAAGAATCCGGCCGGATTGTAACGTGGCAGCGGCACTTCCATTTCGTTTTGATTTCTTGTGGGAATGTTGTACCAAAGATTGATTGTATCTTTTAGTTCGGCTCAATTGGGTTCTGAATGTTTATCTTCTCTAAATTCTTTTGAGTGTTTGGTAGGGTTTATGTTTGTTCCGGATCCGTAGTCCCAGCGAGAGCTGAACAGGCGGTCCGCTGATCCCTTTGGTTCGCTTTAGGGTAAGGTGGGGCTGTCACACAATTCATACTTAGTTTTGAAGGCAGTTTTTCATTCATCCCCCTCTTTAATTCTAATTTGATGGTACCCACTTTTGAGATCAATTTTGGTAAAAAACACAGCCCCATGTAACTCATCAAGCATATCATCTAAGCGAGGTATAGGGTGGCGATACTTTACCGTGATGGCATTTACAGCTCTACAGTCGGTACACATCCTCCACGTACCATCTTTCTTGGACATTAAAATGACTGGGACAGCACACGGGTTCAAATTCTCACGTGCCCATCTTTTGCCAAGCAACTCATCCACTTGCCTTTGCAACGCCTTAGTCTCCTCCGGGTTGCTCTTGTAAGTTGGTCGATTTGGAAATGAAACTCCAGGGATGAAATCAATCTGATGCTCAATGCCCCTAAGTGGTGGCAATCCACTTGGCACGTTCTCGGGAAAGATGTCAGCATACTCCTGTAAAAGAGACACAACCTCAAGAGGTATGTTAGTATCAAGTTCATGCACATTTAGAGTTACTTCTTTGCTAACAAGCATAAGAAGCGGCTGCTCATCTCTCATTAACTTCCTCACTCTCTTGGCTTTTATCAGGAGCATTTGTTTTCTCTCGGATTTTACCTCACTTGTCGAGCTATCTATAGCCTTTTTTCTCTCCTCTTTTGCCCCGGCGCTCACATTTTCTTTCTTTTTTGCACAATACTTCTTATACTCCAGTTGCAATTTCAATTGATCTTCATGTACTTGTTTTGGGGAAAGGGGAGTTAGGGTGACTTTCTTACTATTGTACGAGAAACTATACTTGTTAATCACACCATAAAAAGTTACCTGCCTGTCAAACTGCCACGGCCTACCTAGTATAATATGACTAGCCTGCATAGGAACTATATCACATAATACATCATCAAAATGTTTATGAATTTGGAAGGATATAAGAACCTGTTTGGTTACTCGAACCTCCCCAGAATTGTTGAGCCACTGGAGTTTGTAGGGTCGCGAGTGATCCCTTGTAGGCAGCTTCAAGTTGTCCACCATGAGTGAACTAGCTACATTTGTGTAGCTCCCACTAGCTACATTTGGTTCCTTTGCTTTGGTCGAACGCGAGGTTCCTCGTCATCATCATCATTATTGGAACCATCAGACTCCTCCACATCCCTTCGTCTTCGCCTGGACTTAGAAGTTTTTGGTGTTCCAGATGCTCGGATTTGCAGCAACTCATCTTGAATTGGTTCTAACATGCGTTGGAAATGCCTTTCCATTTGCTCCATCATCTTTTCAAAGTCCATAGGGCGGGATGCTCATTCATTTCCACTAGACATGTAGTCTCGAATGTACCTGCGAGGGTTAGTAGCAAAGGAAAAAGAAAGAAAAAGAAAGATTTTTGTACTCTCCCCCTAAGGTGGATACTCTCTGACTTGGATATGGTCACTCAGATCACTCAATTGAGCTCTCCAAAATTTTCTCACAACCCCTTGCAAGACCTTGAAGAAATTAGAATTTCCTCAAGTGTGCTCAAATTAAGCTTAAAAATTAAGTTCACGTAAGAATTGGAGATTTGTAAGAGTAGAGATTTTCTTGGAAAACAAAATTAGGACACTCAGAGTGGAGTGGTAGAATGTATTTAGGAATAAAAATTGGAAAAAGAATGGACTCAAAAGCTACAAAAAATTAAGATTGACGCTCGAAGGTCCTGATCGACAAGGAAAATGGTCCTTTTGCTTTGCTGGATTTTTTGGTCAGGTTACTCTTGTTCTAGCCGACTCAAGGTGCTGGTTTTCCTTTTTGCAGAGGTGCGGATACAACCTAGGAGCAATTCTGGGCAAGGGTCGGCTACAAAATAGGGAACAAAGTGACTTGGAAGGCCACTTAGTGTTGTTTTGGAAACCTTTTTGGTTTTAGAAACCAGTTGGGTTTGGAAGTCTGGCAGCGGCTGTTTCCTTTTTCTTTTCTAGTTGCTCAGCTGAATGGTTCCCTCTTCCCAGGTGTTCTAGAAGTGCACAAAGGCTGGGGTGTAGGATGAATTAAATCGGCTCTCGCTGGCTGCTCAACTCACAAGAATCAAGAACAACAAGCCGGATGGAGTCGCAAAATCACGATGTCACTCAAGTCCCCCCCACGGGCTCCCCCCTTCGGGTTAACCAAGAACCTCCCAAGAAAAGTTCAAGAACTCCTTGAAGACCCTTCACAGATGCTCGAGAGTATAAGAAACTATTCAAGAAACGCAAGCTACAAGTTTTCAATGTTAAAGAATCTCAAAAAATCCAAGAAGTTGTAGATCAGAATTTTGAATGTAGACTAAGCTCAATGTAATCGGCAATTGATTCCCAACCGAACTCTAGTTTCTTGTTTGAGTTCCCTAATTCAATAACAGTATTCAAGACTCTTTTGTTTCGAAATTTGCTTGCTGTGTTTGTTTCATTTTTTTTTGTACAGCAGCAACTTCGGATGAACACAGGCATGGTTACCCAAAATTTCCCAGGTTTGGCTGAGTTTGGTTGCGGTCTGTTGTTGGTGGTTTTTGCAATCGTGTAGGCTAGGTTTTGGTTCCCAAATGGTTCAAGGTTCAGCTTCAGGTATAGGCCAACCTTTAACGATCAGGTGTTGTAAACCTAACACAAAATTTCCAGCAAATAACTCCAGGAAGATCGCCACAAATTTCTAGATTTCAAAGCGTCAAGAATCTCTTCAAGGACTCCAAGAAATCGTGAAGTTTGCCTACGAAATTCTAGAACAAAGTACCACTACTTTCCTAGATAATGAACAACTAAGGGACAGGTCAAGAACAGATTTAGCAACACCCATAACTCAACAAGAAACACAAACAGAATTTGGAAACTTCAAAAGCTGCACTTCGCGACTTGGGGGAAGACAGCGAGCAGAAATTTTTTTTTTTTTGTTAACAAACAATGAAATCAACACACAACTTAACCAAACACGACACAATGAACTCCCAAAAATTCCGTAAGTTCAAATGACAGCAATACAGATTCAACAAAGATGACCAGAATTTGAAATCAATGGAGTCTCGCGGACAGATTGCAATGTGCGACCAGATTTTGAACTAACGAAACAAACACAAATTCAGACACGAAACGAGGAAGAAACGATGTTACCAACAACTAGCTCTAATGCCAGCTGATACGAATCTTGTTGGTGACGAAGATTCGCGACCCAAGATCGTTTGTTAGATTTGTGATTGACGACCAAGGAAGGTAGCAGCGGATACCCTACGCCTCTAATCCCTGTGACTACGAACTTATTGATATTATCTCAACCCGTAATCAAACGAATTAGCGAACCTCAGGCAAGTGTAGAAGGCACCACAACTCAAATGTGATTCTTGAATTGATAAGCCAACAAGAACACTAGAGTATAATTCTAAGTTGTTCAAGGGATGCTCGAAAGCTATAGAGAAAATTATCTCACTTAATTTATGATAAAAGTGTCTCCCTTTTTATTGATGTATTATGGCCCCTTATATAGGGTACAAGTAATACCTAATCTGATAAGGAAAGTAAAGCTAAAGGTGCGGCTGGTATAGGCCTTAACTAGTGAAGGAAACGGAAAAGGAAACGACGGCCTCAACCCTCGACGGATAGGGTTTCATGCGGGCTTTCCTTCTTAGGCAGCCCTATCTTAACATATAGTGATGAACAAAATAGCAATCCTACTCTTGGCGATTCTATGTGCAACATGCATTTAGCCAATTATTCAATCTAATCAAACTAACACGTAAATAAATGAAACTATTGAAATGGGAAACGAGGTTTGGTAAAACCCTAAACCTCTGGTATAGATTCAATGCTCAATACCGGACCTCGATCACCTTCACTGGAGTGTATAAATCCCTCAAAGGACTTGTGTATGGCCTGTACAAGTACATTGAGATGCTCACAAAGTCTCTTTGCACGAGCCCTAGTGATGGGCCGGTTTGGAGCTTGCACGTGATCCTCGGCTCCTCGATCACTCGAGCCATTGTTGGCGTGCCCATGTACTATGATGCTATCAATAGGGGGTTTCATCTTTTCCAACTCTTTAATTCTTAGGACAAATTGTAGAAACCTCCCCTGAAACTATTGACACTTGCACTGACCTCCCCTCTAGGTTTAGAAATGGCATACAACACCCCTGAATAGGAACAATTTGTTGCAGAATCAGTCCAGGCAGGTTGATGTCCCATTAAAAAATTATTTATAGAAGTGAGATAAGAAATTTCTTCCAAATTTGCCCTGATCTTGCTTGACAAGTAGTATTAACTAGGGAGAGGCATAGGCATTAAGGATCAAGCAAGTTCAGGGGGTATAAATGCAACATCATGCTTCCAGATGCAGACCTACAACAGTAACCATTTGTTGAGAAATCGACGGTTACTTAACGGCTAAATGTGCAGTTCCTTGCACTGCCTTATAAATGAGAGGAAAGTCATGCATGAATACCAGGATTACTAGGGAAAATAATGAGTAGCAAGTTGCCAACTCAAAACACAGCTTGGTTCATTTTCAGCTTGGCAGCTTGAGGTAAAATATTGCAGCAAAGAGAATGGCTTCATCCAGCCGAAGAGCATCATGGAAACTCCCCAACATCCTTCACAATACAAACCAAATATTGCTGGTGCAATCGAAAGGCCACATTGAAGATCTCTGAGACTGAAAACAATCCCAACAAGTTATTTTTTTTTTGCGCAAAATGCAAGTACTTCCAGTGGTATGAGGGTCCTGAAGTTGAAAAGATCAACAGTAGAAATTATGACACCAATTCAGTGCTGCAATCTCAACAACAGCTACAAAGGTCTATGAAAATACAAAGGGAAATGCCAATTGTAGTGACAAGTGCAACGGCTATAAATGTAGCAGTCAGCATACTTTTCATCATCAATCTCATATTTGTTGTTGTTTATGTTTTCATCCATATTGTGAAGTCAATAGGGTGATGTGCATCTAGAAATGTACATTAGTGAATATAAGTTGTTGCTGTAGTTCGAATTGGTGTTGTAAGACGTTGGAGAGGAACAAGTTATTCATCATGTATGCAGCAACAGGTGTAGTTTACATTATAAATGCAACCAGTTCAGTTTACATCTACGGTCATGAGTACAAAATCCACTTCATCCAAGAATACAAAATAAAGCAGATACGAATAGTACTTGCATTACAAGATAAATCCATTAATACAACAAGTCTGATCAGAATTGTGATTGAATTACTACAAAAGCTAACCAGAACAATCAGAAGATACAAAAGCATGACTGAGCAATCCACTTCAGTTCAAAACACCATCTGCTGCATTAAAGGACTTAGAATAGATGGTGAGGATTGCAAAGACCTATCAGCTGAAACATATAAATCTGTTGAAGTCATGTACATAATATTCGTCTCTTGTACCTAATTAATAATATACTACTGAGTGATCTGAGTGCAGTAAGCATTCACCTCCCAAAACTACAGAGTATGCATCAGAATTGCATACTGAAACTGCTGCTATTGCTGACATTTGTTGAGTGCAGTGTTGTAGCTGCATTGATTGATTGAGATGCAGCTGAAGCAACTTGAGATGCAACAATTTGCTGAACTGCGGCTTGTTCCACAATTTGAGTGATCTGAGTAGTATTTGAGTTGTTTCTCTTGTTGCTCCATCTAGCAAATGCTCCAGTAGATGACAATGGCCTTCCTCTCTGCACAATTGGAATAGATTGAACATTACATAGGAGAGCATTTTATTGAAGCATGTATAAAATGCAGTCATTCGAATGAACCTTTTTCTTTGAAGTGGTTGCTGTGCTCTTTTTCTGCTGGTGTACATTCATAGTTGCAGGTTGACTTGAAAGAGAAGGATTGCTTCCTTGGCTTGACTGTACAACTGGAACATTGCCAGAGACATGATCCTAGCAATGTACATGGACAAGTAGTTTTAGCATCGAACAGGCTTTGGCTGTAAATGCTACAATCAGAAGCTTAAATAAAAAAAATTATACCCAAAGAGTTGCTCCTGACAGGCCTATGTTTGTAGGCCCTCTTCCTGGTTTGCCTCTTCTATAGCTCTGCTGTTAAGCAATAAGCTAATATTAAGTACATGAATTGAGTATAAAATAATCAGATTCAAAAACAAATTGAGCTTTATATCACCTTTTGGCCAGGTGAAATGTTGCCATTCCTTTTTTGGACAGGTGCTCTTTGGCATGACCTCTTGTTGTGACGAAAAGAGCCACAGTTTCCATACTTCAACCTGCTCCATCTTTTTGATTGTGATGCAGACTATCCTTTATCATGTTCTCTTCTTCTTTTCACCT